GGCCGTACCCGCCTGCAGCAGCCCCCGGGCGAGCCCCCCGGCCATCCTGCCCGCGCCCACGAACCCGACCCACAGCTGCGGCTCCTCCATCGCCCCCGGCCCGCGCGGGACACGCCCCCACGCAGAGGCCACGCCCACGCGGGGACACGCCCATTTAATGGCCACGCCCACCCCCACCCCTCCCTCCTATTGGCGGAGCCGCCTTTAAGGGGCGTGGCCCAGCGGAGGGGCCGATCTGCGCAGGCGCGCGGGCGCCACGTGGTTCGTTGGGGGTGATACTGAGGGGGTTCCCGACATGTCGCGATATATCCCGACCCCCCCTTTCCTCCCCCCTCGGGACATCTGGGAATAACGGGGGGATGGGAATCTCCTCGTGGGGGTGGACCCACCAAATTTGGCCGTAGGGGTGGGGGGGGGTTCCCGCCCTCTTCTCCCCACGGGACCCCCATGAGCACCCCTGGGACTATGGGGGGGCCCCTCAAATTTAGGACGGGGGTCCCACAATTTTGGCGTGGGCGTGGGGGGTGTTTCTCACCCTCTTTTCCCCACGGGACCCCCGTGGGCACCCCTGGGACTGTGGGGCGTCCCCTCAGTGGGGCGGGTGCCCCAAATTTGGGGTGGGGAGTCCCCAAATTTGTCCATCGATTTGGAGGGGGTTCCGATCACCTTCTCCCCATGGGACCCCCATCAGCACCCCTGGGACGATGAGGGGGTGTCCCCTCAATGGGGTGGGTCCCCCAAATTTGGGATGGGGAGTCCCCAAATTTGTCCAGGAATCTGAGGGGCTTCTCCCAACTTTCTCCCCACAGGACCCCCCCCCCACATTCCCAGGATGCTGCCCTGGAATTCCCAGGCTCTGCTGTTCCTCTGTGCCGGGATTTTGGGGGGGCTGGGCCTCGCTGCCCCCCCTGAGAAGGTGGGGACCCCCCTCAAGACACCCCAGGTGACAACCAGGGCTGGGAATTTGGGGTCCATGGGATCCCCCACCCCAGGCACCACCTTGCTCGGTGTGGGGGTGGTTTTTTTGGGGGTGAAGGTCAAGTTCTGGAGGGTTCTCAGGTTTTTTTTCAACCTTTTCACCCCAAACTCCCCCCCCCCCCCCCTCAGGACCCCCCACCCTGCACTGGGAGCACCCCAGGGGGCTCAGGGCTCGTTTTGGGGTGTCTGTGGGCACCTCCATGGGGGGGAGGGTGGGATTTGTGGGGGACTTTAGGGCCAACCCCCGTCACCACCATCCCAAATATTCCCCACAGGAGGAGCTGTGGGAGACCTGGATGAGGTTGGTGGCGCTGGATGAGACCCCCGTGGTCCTGGAGGACGTCGCCCAGCGGATGGGTACGAGTTGGCTCTGGAATGCTGAGACATCCCCCACCTTGGGATGGATCCAAGGATGTGAGACATCCCCCTGGGTTTGGGATTGATCCAGGAATGTTCAGAATCCCCATATCCCACCTTGGGATCCATCCAAGGATCCTGAGACATCCCGATATCCCACCCTGGGATCCATCCAAGGATGCTGAGACATCCCCCTGGGTTTGGGATTGATCCAAGGATGTTCAGAATCTCCCTGTCCCTCCTTGGGATCGATCCAAGGATGCTGAGACATCTCCCTGGGTTTGGGATTGATCCAAGGACGCTGAGACATCCCCATATCCCACCTTGGGATTGATCCAAGGATGCTGAGACATCCCCATATCCCACCTTGGGATTGATCCAAGGACACTGAGACATCCCCATATCCCACCTTGGGATTGATCCAAGGACACTGAGACATCCCCATATCCCACCTTGGGATTGATCCAACCTCTTTTCCCTCCTCCCCAGGGAATGGGAGCAGCCAGGGGGCCGCAGGGCTCCGGGAAGGACACCGGGTTGTCCCATCCCACCTCCACCAGGAGCAGGAAAGACCTCGGGATGTTCATCCCCGGCGAGGTGGGGACGCGGCAAACCCCATTCCCGGCTTTTCCCACTTTCCCAGGGCTCATCCCACCGCCGTATCCCTCTTTCCCAGACTCAGGGAATGACCTGCTCCTCCAGCAGGTGATGGAGAAGCTGCAGAGGCTCAACCAGAGCCTGGAGCTGATGCTGGAGGCCTTGGAGGACGCGCGGAGCCGGCTGGAAAACCACCTGGAGCACCTCCAGGCCGTTCCCAGCCCGGATGGTGAGCGGGAAAAGGGGCTGGAGCGCGGATCGGAGCTGGTGGGTGCCAATCCCAGGCTTTTCCACCCAATCCCACAGGTCAGAGCCCGGGTGCCACCTCCACCCTCGTCCCACACGGCTCCTTCTCGGCGCTGCTGGTTCTTCTCCTGGTGCCGGCGCCGCTCCGGGTGATCCTCCTGCTCCTCGTCCTGGTTTCCAGCGCCCTCGGAATGCCGGAGCTCTCCGCCCTCCTGGTCCTTGCTGTGGCAGGTGGGGACAGCTGTGGGGGCTCCTGGCTGGGGACACCCCACCCTGGGGGTGCTCTGCCCTCCTCCCACCACCCTGTGTTCCTCCAGGACGGTGGCTGGTGGCATCCAGAGGGATCCGGCCGGGGTTTTCCCGGGAAAAAGGCCATCACCGGCTCACCTCCACCCCGGAGAGGTAGGAGTGGGTTGAGGGGGTGGGCGTGGCACCCTTGGGAGCTGGTGGGGCCCATCCTGGGTGTCCCATCCTGGATATCCCACCCTTGGTGTCTCACCCTTGGTGTCTCACCCTTGGTGTCCCATCCTGGATATCCCACCCTTGGTGTCCCATCCTGGGTGTCCCATCCTGGGTGTCCCATCCTGGAGCCACCTGGTAGAAGTTCCCAGGAAGGGACAGGACAAACATCTTGGTGGTTTTCCTATGGATTTTGGGCACCTCATCCCAGCTCCCTGCCCTGTTTCTGCTCACATTTCCCACCCTCGGTGTCCCATCCTGGGTGTCCCATCCTGGAGCCACCTGGCAGAAGTTCCCAAGAAGGGACATCTTGATGGCTTTCCAATGGATTTTGGGCACCTATTTCTGCTTGGATGTCCCCTCCTGGATGTCCCCTCCAGGATATTCCATCCTTGGTGTCCCCTCCTGGATGTTCCATCCTGGAGCCACCTGGTAGAAGTCCCCAGGAAGGGACAGGACAAACATCTTGATGGACATCTTGGTGGCTTTCCTACGGATTTGGGGCACCTCCTGCCAGCTCCCTGCCCTGTTCCTGCTCGGAGAAGGGGTTGGAGAGGCCGGAGAGCTGCTCGTGGACCGTCGTGGCGGTGACCCAGGAGCTGATTTTCCATCTTCCCACACAGGGAATGCGACCTGGAGCTGCTGCAGGAGGAGCTGGACAGGCTGCAGATGAGCTGCGTGCGAGGTGACCGCTCTGGAGCGGGAGGTTGTGGTGATCCCTGGCGTGTTCCCATCCACGCTGGGACATCTGTCATCCCAGAGCGTCCCCAAGCTCTGCCAGGAGCACTGGGGGGGTGTCTCCATGTTCTTCCAGAGCCCTCGAACCCGGAGCAGCCCCAGGAGGTGGCCGAGGACGTTCCTGGCTCCGTGGGATGGGAGTCACCCATTCCTGGTGGCCACAAGATGAGGCAGAGCTCGGGTGGGGTGAGTGCCCCATGGGATGGCCCCAGGGTGGGGTTGTCCCCCCCCAAAAACCTGCTCTTTGGGAAGGGGTTTTGGTCATGGAATCGTGGGATGGGATTGGGGAATGGATTTTGGTTGTGAAATCATGGGGTGGGTTCGGGGATTTGGGAGTGGGTTTTGGTCAGGGAATCATGGGATGGATTTGGGAATGGATTTTGGTCAGGGAATCACGGGATGGATTTGGGAATGGATTTTGGTCAGGGAATCCTGGGATGGATTTGGGAATGGATTTTGTTCAGGGAATCCTGGGATGGATTTGGGAATGGATTTTGGTCAGGGAATCCTGGGATGGATTTGGGAATGGATTTTGGTCAGGGAATCACGGGATGGATTTGGGATTTGGGAATGGATTTTGGCCACAGAATCACAGGATGGATCGGAAGGGACTCCTTAACCCCTTCTTCCCCACCAGGCGATGCCGGAGCCGCTCACGGACACCGGGAAGCGCCGGGAGCCCAAACCCTTCATCCCGAGGGCCACCACGTGAGCTCCGACCACCCAGGCCGTCCCTTCCCAGGGCTTGGTGTCACCTCAGCGTGCCTGGTGGCCTCCTGGGGGTCCTTACGGGCATCTCCTCTGCAGGTCCCCGTTGTCCCCGCGTTCCCTGTGCCGGGCGCTCACCAGGGCCGGGCAGCGATGCCGGAAGAAAGGAATTCCCGGGAAGGATTTGTGCCACATCCACGCCTCCGGCAGCAGCTCGGCCACGGGTTCATGCCCTGCTTTTGACCCTCCACCTCCTCCCTGAGGGGTTTGATCCCCATTTTTTTGGGGACCCTGGCAGAGAACTCATGGATGCTGTTGGATGGGGGTGGGGGGCAGAGGCTCCTCATCCCACCAATTTTTAGGTTATTTGCATATATTTGGTGATTTGCATATATTTTAATAAACGCCACGTTTCCAGCTGGAGTCTTTCCCCACTCTTGCCCCCCTTATCCCGTGGGATCATCCCCACGTGCCACGAGCCAGCAGCGAATCCCCAGCTGCCGTCCCTTGTGTCGTGGAATCCCGATCCCCTTCCCGTTACTAAGGCCTAATTACAGGTAATTAACACAGCTCATTAACAGCTCACCAGCCTCTCGGCCACCACCACCACCACGGTGGCTCCTTCCTACCCTCTAATTCGGGATCCCTTTGGGATGCCCCGACCTTCCTGCCCCTCCCTGCCCCAGGCGTCCCGCGCCGCTCCCGGCACGGGGCAGGAATGTGGGAGCTGCTCCCTGGGCTCCCTGTTTTGTTTTGTTTTTTTTTTTTTCCTTTGGAATTGTCCCTGTCACCCCCCCTCAGCCCCGTCCTCTGCCCCAGCAAAGGACAACCCTGAGTTGGAAGAGGAGGATCCCGGCGATGCCGGGGCCGTCACTTCCTGGCGTCGGCGTAGTTGGCGTCGAACCAGGCACAGGTTTCCTTCACGGCTGGGGAGGGAGAGAGGTG